TTTTCTAAGACAAAAATAACTTCCAGCTAATTTTGTTATATTATTTATTACTAAGACTTACTTATTTCTTGTAAGTTAGTTTACTAGTATAAGAGGCTTAATTAGTGTGTATATATATATATATATATATATAATATAGAAGAAGACTGAAAATGACTATCCACATTTTTTTACCTAAAGCTATCAGTTTTTATCATACCACGATTTTGAGTTATTGCGTAATTCTTGAATGAAAGCTGTTGTTGTTGAATTTAAGACAGATTTACCATCTTTAGCATCTTATTACATAATTTTTCCCATATTACATGCTTATATGATGCCTAACACAGTTGATTTCATTTGAATATCTGTAGAATTGTCATAATTTGTCTTGAAAGCTAGTGACAAACAAATATAACGTGGAGTTGTAGTATTGAAGTAAATGTTTATAAGAGCATAATATTTTATCCTGCTCTAAGTGGTATGCAAAATATGTAATTTAGATACATACATGTAATTTGTTATCAATTTTCATGCAAATGTTCCGCACGTAATTAATGTCTTACCATTAAGCTGTATATAAGAGGGTAGTAAACATATCATAATTACCTGTTTTAGGTAGAAAGAACTTACATACTACAATAGCTATCCCATGGAGGAGCCGTGGCATGGCCTGATGGTTAGAGAGTTCGATTCGCAATCTGCGGGCCGCGGGTTTGAATCTCCGTAACCGAACATGCTCGCCATTTCAGCCGTGGGGGCGTTATAATATGACGGTTAATCCCGCTATTCGTTGATAAAAGAGTAGCCCAAGAATTGGAGGGTGGGTGGTGTTGAATAGCTGTCTTCCCTCTAGTTAATGCTAAATTGGGGACAGCTAGTGCAGATAGCCCTCGTGTAGCTTTGGGCGGGATTCAAAACAAACCAGTCCATGGAGACTTTTACTGTGTCTGTGTCTGTTTCCTTGAGTTGGAAAACCCATTTCAGGTGGTGACGCGAATACTTGTGAAACTTAATATGTTCTCGAAGATTTTCTCTCTCTTGTTTATGTGGAATATTCATTGGCTCAGTTAATCTAAGGATTGTTGGATACCTGGTAAATAATAATATATTAAAAGGAATACAACGTTAAAATCATTACACAATAAATAGTTATTAAAAACATGGACGTGCCCTAAAATAGACTCTACATATGTTTCGGTGTCCTGTGACACCATCTTCACAAGTGTCGTTGTAAATCATCTAACTAATAATATATTGAATCATTATTGTGATATAACAAGTAGCCATCGAAATCACTATATTAACTTCTTCGTGATATTTACAAGCTAAACTAAACAGTAGAAATTTTTAAAAAATGTCAAAAAATTTGAGCCCTTGCTGTACTTATAAATATTTTCAATTATTATTTGTCATTCGCTACAGATAGCGAGAAATATCTTAGCTTCACTCTAAATGATTTAAATGTTAACAAAAAATATATTTCAAGATGATTTTTCCTATTAACGAAATATATCATACTTATCAAGGTACATGTTCTAGAGGTGGGATTTTAGAATTCAATTTAAGATATTGAAACTAGATAAAACACTATTTTGCCCTCTTCTGGAATATATTTTAGTGAAAAAATACGTTGAGTATTGTTAATAGCTACTAATTAATTTTTATACCGTACATAATATATTAGCTATTGTTAGCAACTAGGTCTTGCATGGCCTAGTGGCTAGAGCGTTCAACTTATAATCTGAGAATCGCGGGATCGCAACTAGGCGCCGAACATGCTATCCCTTTCAGCTGTCGAAGCGTTACCATGTGACGGTCGATTGTACAATTCTTTAGTAAAAAAAAAAGTAGCTCAAGAGTTGGCAGAGGGTGCTGTTTTCCAGTTGCTCTCCCTTTGATTGGGAATTCAAAACTAAGGCCGACAGAAGGAAACCTTACTGAATTTGCTATAAACAAACAGACAAGTAACTACTGTTTACGTAGTATAACTGAATGTTTAACATTTACATATTATTTTCATTGAAGCAAAACTTTCTGATAATTTTTGTTATTAAAAAATTCCGTGGATTCACTTGACTTGGACAACTTGATCATTATTGTTATTCCAGTTTCAAAACCAAACATGTAATATTGACATGTATACTTGACTTGGACAACTTGATCATTATTGTTATTCCAGTTTCAAAACAAAACATGTAATATTGACATGTATACTTGACTTGGACAACTTGATCATTATTGTTATTCCAGTTTCAAAACAAAACATGTAATATTGACATGTATACTTGAGTTGGACAACTTGATCATTATTGTTATTCCAGTTTCAAAACCAAACATGTAATATTGACATGTATACTTGAGTTGGACAACTTGATCGTTATTGTTATTCCAGTTTCAAAACAAAACATGTAATATTGACATTTATACTTGACTTTGACAACTTGATCGTTATTGTTATTCCAGTTTCAAAACAAAACATGTAATATTGACATGTATACTTGATTTGGACAACTTGATCATTATTGTTATTCCAGTTTCAAAACCAAACATGTAATATTGACATTTATACTTGACTTTGACAACTTGATCGTTATTGTTATTCCAGTTTCAAACAAAACATGTAATATTGACATGTATACTTGACTTTGACTCGAACAACTTGATCATTATTGTTATTCCAGTTTCAGAACAAAACATAAAATATTGACATGTATACTTGACTCGAACAACTTGATAATTATTGTTATTCCAGTTTCAGAACAAAACATGTAATATTGACATGTATACTTGACTTGGACAACTTGATAATTATTGTTATTCCAGTTTCAGAACAAAACATGTAATATTGACATGTATACTTGATTCGAACAACTTGATCATTATTGTTATTCCAGTTTCAGAACAAAACATGAAATATTGACATGTATTTGATAGGAGGAAGATGCTCTGTACCTGTTGTTATAATGTTTTACAGTTGGATAGGCAGGTTACTAGAAGAAATAAGTACACAGAAAATCTGGCTGATTACACCTGAATCACACTGCTGTTGTCAACTCATCTGATTGATTAAGATCATGGCTGATTACACCTGAATCACACTGCTGTTGTCAACTCATCTGATTGATTAAGATCATGGTTGATTACACCTGAATCACACTGCTGTTGTCAACTCATCTGATTGATTAAGAACATGGCTGATTACACCTGAATCACACTGCTGTTGTCAACTCATCTGATTGATTAAGATCATGGCTGATTACACCTGAATCACAGTGGTGTTGTCAACTCATCTGATTGATTAAGATCATGGCTGATTACACCTGAATCACACTGGTGTTGTCAACTCATCTGATTGATTAAGATCAGGATATTGTGGATATGAGATAACACATATAAATATAAGGTTATTTTTTAAGTTCAAGAATGCATTTTTGTGACCCTGACCTATAATATCATAATTGTATATCTCACTTTTACATTTTAAACTTTATACCAAAATTTTCAGTTCTCATTTGTTTAATTTTACAATATTTTATATTAAGGTTGAGTAAATAATAAATAGTGATCTAGGTTTTCAGAGATCAGGATATTTCCATTTAAGTCGTTGTCTCTATAATGTTGGCGTTAGGAAAGTTTAAAGTGATGCAAAAATATATGTCACAGAAGAACATGGCCAGAGTTAATACTCATCCAAAGTAATCAAAAATATAGTTTCTTTATTTATAGGCTTTTATTTAAAGGTACATATTTTAATAGTTATTTGACTGAAATAAAGATACAGTAAATTAATAAAGCTACTTTATCCCACCCTCAATTTTTCTTTAGTAAAAGGGGTAACATGGAGTTTAAAAGCTTGATTTTTTCTGATATTGATTTCCCTTTGAATGTTATTGGATCAATTACAAGCGAGTTCGACAATGTCAGATACTGGGCATTTTTATCCTGCATAAAAACCTTTTTCTTTTTCTTTTTTATAGTTTGTAATTACACCACATACAATTAAAAGATCAACTGTTGTATTAAAAATGGATGATTGAAGACAATGCATTGTTGTCACTTTGAAGTTATTTATACCAATCATAATCCAGTATATTTAAAGAGAAGCGGATGTTTTGTATGTACATGGTACAAACAGAAGATGAACATTAATTATCATCATGTTATTCACTGTTAAATTCAAGAGACGTTTAAAAACAATTTTAATAGCATTTTTTATTTCCTTTTTTCACAATGACTGTGCGTGATTCGCCTCTATATTGTAGATAATACAATGACATAGAGACGAGGCACAATACTATTTTCCAAACCATACATAACAACCCATATAATGAATGGGACTGGCTTTTAGCTACTTAGTAACAACTGCTAAATATTATTTTGTACTACTTTAAAATAACACCCGTAAGCTTTTTTTTTATCATATACACAGTTTATACAGGTCACATAGGACGCTACCTGTTCTTTCAGACTTGCTTTACTGCAGACACATTTGAACAGCAACCACGTATCTAGAATAACACACACGTATATATGTATATATATGTTGGTATGTGTTTATATATATGTATATATATATATGTATGGAACATATTGAATAAATCTATATAAGCAGTTAATCCAAAGGTACCTATGTAATAACATTCATATAACAGACAGAAAACATTTTTTTCTCCTCCACATATATATATATATATACATATGTACGTGTGTAAGCATAATAATAATAATCTTTATTGATTTTGTTGTTTTGCGTATTGACTACGTCAAAATGCAACATATCTTTCCATAACATCATTTTACATAAACAAGTGGCTGATAACAATCAGAATAAAAACGCACATGAATCCAGTTTTCAGGCTATACAGATATATCTACAAGTAATACGTAATACGTAATTATACATACATCTTAACCTATCTTCTTAGCAGGAAATGGTATAATAGGCTACATTTAGATCACAGTATAGAATATAATATTTACTTAGATCACGATACTCTCTATCTATACCTGTGCCAAGCTTCTAACTAAGACTGTACAACTGTACATCTAGATATCAAAGCTCTGTACGTGTCAATATTCAGAACTAAACACTAGCCAGGCAAGTAAAAATAATACATACAACGAAATTTGTACCTACACCCCAAATAAAATAGAAATCGGGAACTGTATTCTTGTTGGGTTTTTTGTTGTTGTTTTTTGGCACATTCGCTTAGCATATTTCAAAAATATTGAAAGGCTTTTGGTTTCGGTGCTCATCAGCTGATTTGTGTTTTTAGATTACATGATTTATATATTTATATTTATAATCCCTTGAAACTTTGAAAGAACTATTCTTCCTATATTCTTGTTAACTTTTGGATGTATAGATAATACTTTAAAATATGTATTTTTGTTTGTCCTAGCCAGTGAGCTTCACGGCTAAATCGATTTAATAGTAACAGTGTCTAATACCAGGTCAAGATTTTTAAAACCAACAACGGAATAAGCTGTATTTAGCAGCCAGTTAATGACTACTTTATTATCATATTAATATGTGTGTATATTTAAATATTTTTTTTAATCAAGTCATTACGTATATCAATCTCATTTCATATGACAAGATTTTTCTATTTGGAACACGATGATATTATTTCCTGAGTTTAAATATAACTTTTTTCTTGCTAAGTTTAATTTTCATTCTTACCTTTTTCTCATTAAGCACTTTAAGGAATAGTCGCATACTTGGGCAACAAAGGTTATTTATTAACTAGAATTCGTGTTGTTTTCAAACAAAAACAACATATCTCAAAACAAAATTGGTAGCTCTTCTTCCATTCCAACTAAACCATAAAGCTCTAAATTTGAATAGTAAAAAAGTTGCATAAGTGCAATCTGTTTTTATAGATATAAATTTCAATTACAGCACCTATCATCATGAACGAAATTATCAAATTTCAAACCATTAAAAACAAAACTTCTCAGCCATCAACAAGTCAACGTTTGTCTATTATTTCGAACATTCTAATCAGTAAAAGCTACAATAAAGGCTACAAATTAAATGTTAGTAATATATACAGCTAGTCTTAGAGAAAATAGTTAACATTCAAGCACTGAGAACAGTAAAAGGACACATAAAACAGTTGAGTTCCCTCGAACAAGTATAGCCACTTAACGACTACATTTACAGAAATGAGATGAATTTTATAATTGTTCCTAATTATATTATTCACTTGCACATATTTAGAGTGAAGTCGGCTTTAAGTAAAACCTGGGCGATTTACATGAACTGCTTTCTTTAGTATATGTAAATGTATGTATACGTGTGACATGGTTGGTATTAATTGTGACCACTATCAGTGATTCTTTTTGAGACATAGTATCTTCTCCAACTATATAATGTTATGATAAGAGCAGGTGGCACTACCTAGTGATTATAATATAAATTTAAGTTAAAGCATGTCTCAAATAAAAGTTAATTTGGAAACCCTCTTAATGATGTTCAAGTATAATCACCTGAAAAATAAAAAGGCTAAACTCATGGTTAATATTAATAGCTGGTAATAATAGTAAAGAATTGTCACTTACCTGTATTGTAATATTCCATATGCATATAGTATACACATTAAAATAATTGTTATACGCCTTTCGTTTTTTTATTGCAAATTACAAAGTCACTAGCCTGAAACTGACGAATTGGATGAAACAAAATAAACACAGAATAACCATAGGGCCTTTCGATGTGTTTTAGTTTATTTTTCGTCTGTACAGATTTCTATGTACAACCTTTAGGACGCATGTTTCTTTCATGATTGAGCAGGAAAGTTTCGTGGAATGAGTGCTGAACGCAGTACACCAGATCACTGCATTCCAACCACGGGTAGTGGTTCTTGTCAGTCTTGAATTATTGCAGTGCTTTCTTGAAGTTACTGATGCTCGCCATCCAATGCTTCCAAAAACTTTTCCTGGATAAGGTAAGGTATCACCTTACGTCTGGAATAAACATAAGAGAAATTAAGTCAGTAATGAAATCATTAGTTAGTTAGCAAAAGTTAAATGAGATGGCAGCACAATCTTATATATATATGCAATATAAAGCCAAGACACCAGATTAAGGCAAATCCTTTGATTCAAAACCTAAAATATTTATAGTTGCATTTTATATTTTTACCAAGATTAAATGAAAAATTCCAAAAATTTAATAATGGTTGATCAAGCTATCGTAAAATATGCAACAGCTATTTAATATTCAGTGATTAACAGTAACCTCCGATCAGAGCAAGCTATGTACTTAGAAAGAAACTAAAATTCAACCTGCCAATCAACATAGGTGATTAAATACACTTTTTTAAAGCGTTTTGACTTATAAAGATAATAACATATTGTTGCATCAGTTAAATATTATAATATTTTAGCTATGGCAAATCGAAACCACTACTTTAAAATAACATGACTCACCTCTCAACCTGTTTCATACAAACAAGTAATCTGATGATCAGTTGTATGATACGAAATGCAAGTGGATAGTAAATTAATCCATACTCTTAATTGAGCATTATGTAGAGGTGCTTTTCATGTTTTCAGTCACTTCTCTTCAGTATGGTGTATGACTACGATTAGCACCAAGGGAATATTAGTACTGATACTCCATACTTAAAATTAGGTAAAGTCCTAAAGTATCTTCAATCACTGAGATATTTGTAAGACATTAAGGTCGGGCATAGTCTACTTGTTAGAATGCCCAGACTGCGAATACGCAAAAACATATTATTCCACACATTGAGGTCATGGGTGCGTTATAAGTGTGACCGTCAAATTCCACTACTTGATCGTTGGTACTATTAACTAGCTGCACTTCTTCTAGTTTATCAGTTTAAAATTGTAGACATCTACGTGCATATATAACTTTGAGTAATTTTACACGAAACTTTTAAAACAAGCAAATCAAGGCATCTTTATTGCGTGTGGAGTCATTTGACAGGAAATGCTGCATTTCCTAAGAGCATTACATAAGATGTTTACTCCATTCATTCAGTCCCTTCCTTTTTAAGGTGTGTATTATCCAGTTTAACTCAAGCTGATATATCATCTATTAGACTGGAGCCAGTGCCAATTTACCAGCACAAATGGCCTGTGGATGTGGTTTGTATAATGTGTGTTAACATGGTACCATTTTCGCAGGTTGTAGTAATCGGTAAGTACCATTGACTTGTAAGTACTTCCCTATTCTGCTAATAAGACTTTGAGCCCCTTTGCGATTCCTTGACTCTCCACTTAGGTGAAAAATCCAATGTTTTCTATCAGGTCTACCCATGGTTTGCTTCAGAGTGACAACCTAGATCACTATATTTGTAGCATAATTTGAACGGCCAATCATTTGCATTTCAGATCACATGACATTTAACCATATGATAGTATTGGCATAACAATAAACTGATTGAGTGATATTACTCTATAACAGTGGTTCTTTCTTGTCATAGCTATAGTGATTTTTAACTCCTTAAATGACACTATCAGATCCATCATTTGGAAAAACAAAACCTTTTATATTGGAAGCAGCATGAGCGTAGCTACATGGCAAATATCAAATGATTAATTGTTTTGTATAAGTAGAAGAAGAATAGTTCCTTACCTAATGGGTAAAAGGAGAAGGATGATAACAGGAAACACCATCTTTACATAGGACCAGGGCGAGAAACCAAAGAAACACATGGCAGCCAACTGAATCACTTGGCACAAAGTGAATACGTGAATCTTTCGTTGTGGGCAACGTCTGATGTAATGATTGGGTGGATATGCAGTCTGTAATAAGTGAAACATATACTAACAACTAATTACAATCTATAATACAACATCAGAATTCTGGTTTGGCAAAAGTTGTTTAATATAAGGTTTCGCTGCAGATCAAATTACCGGGGCCAAAATTCAGACCATCAAATAAACTAATAAACTAGTGGACAGGAATCTATGCATAACTTAGAAACACTATTTCACCTCGCGTTTGATAACTAGAGAAACTGATAAATTTACATCAAAGAACAAATACATGTCCCTAACATATCCATAAACAGTTACCACTGAGATTGGTATATAAAGACATTTATGGTAAAGATACAATAACAAGTGTTTTACAAATAAATATAAATTAAAATAAAGTGGTTCTGAAAACTAACATTTTTAGATTTTGTAGTTTTTACGATAGGTGGTTTATAGTAACATGTTTCAGTTACAGTGAGTTTGAATTTTAGTCTCTTACTTATTCAAATTAATTAAGTGGCTTTCATTAGGGTAAAGTAACAATATAAGAGATCAGTAGGTAGGTATATAAATGGCATAATTTCTAAACAAACCTGTTCCATAAAAAGAAGTGTAATCCTTTCAAACATCTGGTTTCCATTTAGGGATGTTACAGCCATGTAGAGAAAAAGCCCATTGAGAACAGCAATAGGGATGTAGCCTAGGGGGTAAGGTAGGAGTAATATCGATAGACCTATGAGGATGTGAGATACAATACCTGTCACCCTTGTTTCTCGGACCTTGACAATTCTGCAAATATAATAACTGTAACATTTCAACAAAACTACGTACATTCGTTCGTTAATAAAATGTTCACTATTATACAAAGTGTTCTGATCAATAACATTTTGGTTTCTTAACCTAAATATCATCATTGAGGAAATGAACATTTATATGGTACATGAAAGAGATTTATTTAGGAGACAACGTAGAGCAGTGGAGACAATATGCAAAGAATGTAGATGGTGTTCATAACGGTGTACATATATGTATGGTGTTTTATATGCTACATGAGTACTAGAACAAAACTCAGGAGGACATGAACCATCTTGAATACATAAAGCTGGTGAGAGTTTCTTATTCTCTACTTTGTTTCTTCAGAACATATCTTAATCATAGCACTGAATGAGATAACAAGTTAAATGACATATCTTAATCATAGCACTGAAGGAGATAACAGATTAAATAACATATCTTAATCATAGCACTGAAGGAGATAACAGGTTAAATAACATATCTTAATCATAGCACTGAAGGAGATAACAGATTAAATAACATATCTTAATCATAGCACTGAAGGAGATAACAAGTTAAATGACATATCTTAATCATAGCACTGAAGGATATAACAGGTTAAATAACATATCTTAATCATAGCACTGAAGGAGATAACAGGTTAAATAACATATCTTAATCATAGCACTGAAGGAGATAACAGTTAAATAACATATCTTAATCATAGCACTGAAGGAGATAACAAGTTAAATGACATATCTTAATCATAGCACTGAAGGAGATAACAGGTTAAATAACATATCTTAATCATAGCACTGAAGGAGATAACAGTTAAATAACATATCTTAATCATAGCACTGAAGGAGATAACAGGATAAATAGCATATCTTAATCATAGCACTGAAGGAGATAACAAGTTAAATAACATATCTTAATCATAGCACTGAAGGAGATAACAGGTCAAATAACATATCTTAATCATAGCACTGAAGGAGATAACAAGTTAAATAACATATCTTAATCATAGCACTGAAGGAGATAACAGGATAAATAGCATATCTTAATCATAGCACTGAAGGAGATGACAGGTTAAATACAAATGTCTAATATATTCCAAATACAATCGTACATATTATAACGATAGTGTTGAAGTGAAATTATAATACTCTATATACAAGATTAATTCAGCACTAACACACTTATGCAATATACGTAACTACTGTGCTACTAAATCATAACGATAATGATAATGTACATTTCGTAGATGTGTCCTTGTTCTACACGTTCCTCGACATCTGCAAGACTACGAACGTGAAGCGGAGAGTGCGGTAGAACGCCATGCATCCATGGAAGACCGAACAAAGAGAGAAAACCATTCAATATTCCCACAACGAATAGGTCCAGATGGTAGCCCGGTCCCTTCTTTAATCTAGATATAGAAAAAGTTTTATCACTTATTAAATAATCATTCCAAACTATTAGTAGATCCATACTGTATTATACCTCTCTTTATTAAATGGTCAAGACTTATTCAGTATTTCATAATGTTGAAAAAGCCATAAGGCTTACACTTAATTCAGAAACCACAAAATGATTGAAAAAGCTATAGTTTCCATTCAGACCTTGGAAATCTTGTAAAAATATGAAGACTGTGTAACTAATTACTAAATATTTAATGTCTCTAAAAACCTAGAAGTTACAGTCAAAATGAGACTTTGAATTTCCAGTAAGTAAATATAAACTTTTCCTACAGACCTAGGCGTTCCTCTCAAAATATGAAGACTTTGTATTTTCGATAGTAAATATTTAGTGCCCATAAAAACCTAGGTGTTCGTGTTAAAGCTTGAAGACTGTGTATTTTCAAATAGTAAATATTTTACTACTCCTAGGTCTTAGAATACTGAGTATTTATAAATACTAAATATTCACTGCCACTGTCAATGTTACTGTTACTGTCAAAATATCAAGACTGTGTATTTCTAGTTTATAAATATATACTACTCCTACAGACCTAGTAGTTTCTGTTAAAATATGAAGACTATGTATTTCCAATTATAAAATAATCACTGTCCCTAAAATCCTAGGAGTTCCTTTCAAAAATATGAACATGCTCGCTCTTTCCAGGTAGTAAATATAAACTGCCGCTACGGACTTAGGAGCTCCTTTCAAAATGTGTAGATTATGTGTTTACTAAACCTATTGAACTACTGTACATAAAGATACTGTAAATTTCCAATTACTAAATATTTACTGCCCATACAGACCCAGAAGTTACTGTCAAAATATCAAGGTTGTGTATTACCAGTTACTAAACACGTACCACCCTACAGACCTATAAGCTCCTCTGAAAATATAAATACTAAGTACTTCCAGTTAGCAGTTTACTGCCCCTACAGACGTAGAAGTATCTATCAAAATATGAAAGGGTGTATTACCAGCTATTAAATATTTACTGCATCTACAGACCTAGAAGCTTCTCTCAAAATATCAAACGAGATAAGTCCTGTTACTAATAAATATTGTCCTACAGACTTACAAGTTCCTGTCAAAACATCAAGACTATCTATTTTCAATTAGTACATATATACTGCCTCTACTAACCTAGAATTTAAGGTCAAACTATGAAGACTATATTACCAGTTTAAATTGTTACTGCCCCTACTAACCTAGAATTTAAGGTCAAACTATGAAGACTATATTACCAGTTTAAATTGTTACTGCCCCTACTAACCTAGGATTTAAGGTCAAACTATGAAGACTATATTACCAGTTTAAATTGTTACTGTCCCTACTAACCTAGGATTTAAGGTCAAACTATGAATACTATATTACCAGTTACTAAATTGTTACTGCCCCTTCAAACCTAGGATTTCCTGTAAAGCTTAAGAATTTCTGTCAAAATATGAAAACTGTGTATTTCCAGTTAGTAAATATATACTACTCCTAAAAACCCAGGAACTCCTGTAGAAATATGTAGACTGGGTATTTCAGTTTTGTTCATATATACAACCCTTAATAATGAATAACCCTTAGTTAGTAAATATATACTACTCAAAGAAACTAAGAGTTACTACCAAAATATGAAGACTATGTATTTCCAAACACTCACTGCTCTTATAGACCTAGCAGTTCCTGTTAAAACTTGAAACCTGCATATCACAAGCTAGTAAGAACTAACTACCGATACAGACCTAGAATTCCATGTCAAAATATACTGAGAATGGGTATTTCCAATAAAAAAAATATATACTAGCCGTACAAACTTGGAAGTTTATGTTAAAATATGAAGTCACAGTTTACAAGCCTAGGTGTTTGTATCAAAGATTTATATTGTGTATTTTTAGCTAGAAATACATACTGCCTTACAGTTTTACAGGCCTAGTGTTTGTATCAAAGACTTATATTGTGTATTTTCAGCTAGAAATACATGCCTTACAGTTTTACAGGCCTAGGTGTTTGTATCAAAGATTTAGATTGTGTATTTTCAGCTAAAAATACATGTCTTACAGTTTTACAAGCCTATGTGTTTGTATCAAAGATTTAGTTTGTGTATTTTCAGTTAGAAATATATACTGCCTTACAGTTTTACAGGACTAGGCGTTTGTATCAAAGATCAAGATTGTGTGTTTTCAGTTAGAAAGCAAACACTGCACAAAAAGACGTTGTAGTTTCTGTCAAAAATGAAAACTTTTAATTTCTATTTAGTTAATATTTCCAGTCCCTACAGACCTAAGAGTTCCTGTTAAAATATCAACACTGTGTATTTCCTGCTAGTAATTATTTACTACCTCTACAAACTTAGGAGTTTCTCTAAAAATGTAAACGCTGTGTATATCCAGTTAGTAAATAGTTACTGCTTTTATAAACCTAGCAATTACTGTTAAAATATGAAAATCATGTCTTTCTAATTAGATAACATGCACAGCCTAAATAGTCCTAAGATTTCATGTAAAAATATGAAGATTATATATTTCAAGTTCGTGTGTATATACTGCCTCTACAGAATTTTGAGTTCTTGCGAAATATGAGAACTGTGTATTTTCCAATAAATAATCATTGCTCCTAATGACAAGGGATTTAATGTCAAAAATATGAATGTTTTCTATTACAAGATAGTAAATATTTACTGCCCCAACAAGCCTAGGAGTTCCTGTAAAAATGTAAAATCTATGTATTTCTAGTTAGTAGATATTTACTACAACTACAGGCCTAAGAAGTCCTTTCAAAATATCGACATAGTGTATTTCCAGTTAACAAATAAATACTTCCCATACAAACTTAGGAGTTCCTTGTCAAAATAGCGAGACCAAATATTTCAAGTTATTAAACATTTACTGGCCTTACAGACCTACTTCTTACTGTCAAAACATGAAGAAAATATATACCACTCTTTAAGACCGAGGAGCTCCTTCCAAAACAACAAGAATGAACATTTCCACTTAGTAATCATTTACTACCCCTAGAAACCTATGTTTCCTGTCAAAATATGAAGGCTTCGTACTTCTACTTAGTAAATATTTACTGCCCCTGAAAACCTATGAGTTTCTGTCAAAATACGAACACTGTCAATTTGCACTAAGTAAATATCTCCATAAATACAGATTTAGGAGTTCCTGTCAGAATATCAAGACTGTTTATTTCCAATTAGTAAATATATATTACCCCTTCCGTCCTAGAAGTTCCTGTCAAAATATAGAAACAGCGCATTTCATGTTAATGTGTATGTACTGTCCATACAAACCAATAGGGACAGTACATCTACTGATCTTACACATCTAAAAGTTCCTGTCAAAATGTGAATGCTATCTATTTCCAGTTGGTAAATATATAGTGTTCCTGCAGACTAAAGATTTAATGACAAAATTTTAAGACTTTATGTTACCTGTTATTAAGCATGTACTTCCCCTATAGAACTAGAAGTAACCATTAAAATATCAAGATTTTGTATTACCAGTTATAAAATATTTACTTTCCTGACAGGAAGTACATGGTTTCCTGACAGACCATGTACTTCCTGTCAGAGTATTAAGATGTGTATTCCCATTTAGTAAATATTTACTGCCCATATTGTCCCAGAAGTTCCTGTCAAAATAAAAAATGAGTATTTCTAGTTAGTATGTATTTACTGCCCTTACAAACCCGTGACTTTCTGTCTAAATATGAAGTTTGTATTTCTAATTAATAAATATTTACTGCCCTAGAAACCTCACATTTCTAGTTGTTAAATATTATTATCCAGACTTTATATGTACAGTTAACAAGTTTATGCAACTTAGTAGCTACTTTTATGTTAGTATATTACGACTATTATTCCGGTTTATAAACGTAATCTGTCCTTACAAATGTAATGTTTTCCGATTAGTAAACCTACAGTCTTTATACTGGCCTAGGGTTTCACTTATATTAGTTTCACAGCTGTTAATCCTGGCCTATCGCCAAATCCCATGTCCTTCTCCGTAATGCGCTCGCGTTCGAGTAAACGAGACTAAACTTTCAGTACTTTAATAGGGTAAAAGAAGCCAACAGCAATTATAATGGAGTGTGCAACCAACCTTTCCCCGATTCTCTATTGGTAGATTGTCCAAGTAGACAAGTTAGTTCACTTTTGTCCGATTGGCGTTAAAGTAAGGAAGAACTGGGATAGAATCTGACACATGTTAATGCCATGTGGTTTAGGATTTGACGGCACTAACTATTTGTAATGCATACTAATAGAGAGCTTTCACTTTGCAAATATCTTTCAATTTTAATTTAATTGACATGGAATTTCATACAATTTGGTCACAGAATAATATTACTATCACGCCTCAAGTATAAGAAATCATTAATTCAACTCTTATTTTCAATAATATTTAAACATTCTGCAATAACAAATTTAAGTAAAATTAATTACATTTTCACTTATAATATTGTATTCAAATAGAATCCAATGTAGTAAATCTATTATTTCTTAAATGTTGTGCTTACAGATTCTTCGAAATGGTAATTAAGTCGTTTTAAATCAACACTGACACAAAACTGAAAACTGTAGTGGTTCTATTTTGACATGATGCAGACTTCCTTCGTATGTTAAGCATCACAACATTAACATGATAACGTTGGAAGTGATTAATAGCTTTTTATTGGGAGTCAGCTCCGCTACTGGTGGTGCATCAAAACAGTTGAAACATTTATTCTTTTTGCTATTAAGAAGTGAGTCGGTAATTTTTCTTTTAAAATGTAGTTTACCGTATAAAATATATATTTTATTCGAATTATGAACATTTCAAAAAAGATCCATCTGTATAAAATACGTTAGAATAATTAGCTAGCACGGTTATGGTGTACTGGAGCTCACTTATTGCAAGGGTTGTTCACCATAGCGGCAGAGATATTTTGATCCATAAAAAACAGTAGAGACAGTGCAAATCCCAATCCCATCGCTGCAACAGCGGCCGTCCACGGAAGCTCCTCGACGCGACCCCTGGTAAAACTGATGTCAGTGTTGTAGTGGAAATGTTCAGCTGGAAAAAAAAAGTTATATAAAACACGTTTGGTAAATATTCAGACACCAGTCTAAGCATATTTTACACACATTTCTGAAAAAAAAATAGTATAATAAAACACGTTTGGTAAATATTCAGACACCAGTCTAAGTATATTTTACACAGTTCTGAAAAAAAAAAGCAGTACAATAAAACACGTTTGGTAAATATTCAGACACCAGTCTAAGTATATTTTACACACAGTTCTGCACCTAAAACATTATTCTACACTGTTTAAACCACGTTCAGTGAATTTAAATTAATTCAGAAGTTTGTTTGTTTTTCCATAAAAAAGAGAATTGGTTATTTCAATATTAACGTTTCTAGTTAAAATCAAAGTACATGAAGCGAGTGAAAGGTGAATTGTATGAACTACTGAAGTTTTCTTATGACGTCTTTGTCGTTAGTGAGTAAATATTGATACTGCTTGTTTGTCTTAAGCACAAACCAGTACAACTGGCTATTTTTGCTTTGCCCGCCCTTTGGGATCGAATCCAGAATTTCAGTGTTATAAGCTCTCAAGCCTACCACTGAGTCACCGAGGAGCAAACGTTTTTTATATCAGTGTTTGTTCGTTGTTTTTGAACTGTCAGATATATTCCTAAAAGTTTTGTATTTTCTTTAATATTTTTTATATATTTGAAAGTTTAATTTGAGATTAAAAATTGAGAAATAAAAACTACAGTAAAAGTTTTAGCTAAATATTAATAAAAATATTTATTTTCAACATAAAGTAGGCTTAAATTTCTACAAATGATAAAGTAGCCTATAAAATACAAGTTCCTCCCTACTTCGGATATCCTGAAAGACGAATGAGCCGATGAAGCTTAACGTGATTACGGCTACCGGTAAAGCATAGTCTGCTAACATTTCCCGTTTACTTGCTTGTAGATATGGCCTAAAGACAAAAGAGTTTCTGAAATATCATTCTAGTAAACTGTTGTAGTATAGTATAAAATTAAAATCAAACAATAATTCCCACCGCTAGATGGCAACAGTGCAATTGACAACTTTCTTTTTTTCATTCATTGGTACTAAATTATTATTAGGCTTCGGTACATTTAAAAGATGTGGAATAAATTGGGAAATCACTGGCTAACAGAAAAGAATAATAATAATGGACATAACGACAACGATAGGAGTGAGATTACATAAAAAAATTATAATAAGAAATGGTATGTTTAACACACACAATGCACGTGAATGACTAACAGTAAAACTACTTACCACTACATTAGAACCAACACCTTACGATACCATTTGTACTACATATATGTATTATTGCATAGCAATAGTAAGTTTGATAAGAAAACTCGATATGTATGTGTAAATTATTCCAACAAATACAAATATAAGGAAGAGATATATTATAATTAATTTGTCTTTCAATCAAGTGAACCAATTAGTATATATATATATATATATATATTAAGAACACCATATGTCCAGCGAATACAGTTAATAAAACAGTTTCATTGAAATATTTTGCTAGCTTACAATTCGTAGAATCTGACTTCTCTCAGGTTCAGTGTGGTCAGAATTAGTTTTACTAAATGAACTCGTCTACAAGAGTCGCGTTTGGTAAAAAAGAAAAGAAAAATAGAATGATGGGCGCTTCCTAACGAAAATGCTTTCCCCTTGACATTGGTATAGCCTGTACCTGTGTGGCAACCATTCGGCGGACAACATTAATGGAGATTATGTCCTTTTTTGACAACATTTGACTAGTTAAAAAGTTGTTGTACACGACGTCCAATAGCTCATAAACTAAGGCGTTCTATAGGTTGTAGATCTTATTCGCAAATCCCCGACCTAAATGATTTCTCCTTCTTCATGATATTTCATCACAAGCTTGGCAGAATGACACCAGTGTATTATATCGAATCAGTGAAAAATTTGGTCTGATTTTATGCGACAGATTGTACAACTGGGTTAAATACCACTTCAATCTGATCCCTAAAGCATAAGAAAATCTGCATATCAATTCATAATGACACCTCCCTCACCATAACTGAATCACCAGCGAAATCTGTGGTACAGTAATAGTTTCCTTGACTTAAAACTGATGATTATAAATAGAAATATGAAACTCTGAGTAACCTGTAAAGAGTGCAGATACACAATGGTCAACGTCCTTTACTGTTTTGGCACTTATTATCACAATTGCTATTCTAAGTCTGTATTAATTAGTTTATGGGTACTCAACGGGCGCTTCCACACAGCTATCGTGTATATCATATTTTTTATATTATCCAGGTTGTCTAGGGTGCAAGCAACTGATATCATGCTTACATTATTCCCACTTAATCTAATGGTAACAAACCAAAATAGCACCGAAATAGGAAAAAATGTAGGGTTAGGTTTTCCGCATGTTTATGTATTAATCATAGCGCCTCTACAACATACTAAAAAATGACAATTTGGAGGGGAGGGGATATCAAATATTTGGGGGTATAAAAATCCTTCGACTCAGTTTCACTGATTATAAGGGGCCACTGACTGATCAAGTCCTACAAAATAGCTTCGGAACTAAACTTTGGGGATATTTACGATATATAATGTAAAAGCTGAAACACAAATACCAATTTGTCTATCCTTACGTTATTTATCAGAAACAGCAAGATATACTGCTGGTATTAGCAGACTAAAGTTTTTGCTTGTTATACATTTTTTACATAAACAAATAAAAAAGTACTTTAACTTATTTCAATTCTAAGCCACTGGGAAGTTTTGATTTAAGTACTCAAGAAACTTTCAACGTTAGCTTATCAGTGATCCTGCGCTTTATTGTTTCCATAGTAACTAACAATAGTGTAAATGAAAGTTGTTCTGCGCCACAGTGTAAATAGCTCACTTCATCCAGTATCTACTGACAAAGATCCAGCACCATCCGAATTACTACGCATGATCAAATGTAGCTGTAAATCTAGTAATGACGGATGCTGTTGTTTAAGATACGCTTGCAAACACTACAGTCGCCATCATGCAAGCATATACAAAATCTGCAGAGAACGAACTTGTTCGAATTCTCAGCTAGTTATATCCGAAGATCTAGATTAAGTGACGTAAGCAGATGAGACGAATTCTGTCTTATTCATAAACTGCAAATTGTTTTCTTAAAAACAACCCAAATATTATTATTATTTGTAAATGATAGATGTGTAATCTCCTATTAGAACAACGTAACATTAAGTCCATCATTCAAACGTATAGCTAATGCTGATTCCAACAACGTTTTACTCTTTGATACACGACCAATATTTACTGACCTATGACCCCTATAATCACCTAAGTAAAATCGGGAAACTTACGAACCCGCAAATATTTGGCTTGCTCTAAAGGTACTTTCCATTTATTCGATTTTGTCTGATTTTAGGCTGTTGTTAAACATATCTGACTTACATACAAAACATGAAAAACGCAATATTAATAGTTTACTTTCTAGGTTACGTAATAAAAACCAGTCCCTAATTTCGATGTTTGAAGCTCATTTTGATTGTGAAAATTGCACACCAGTCTGAATTAGATGGGTTCAATCAAAACTATATTTCATGCTGATTCTAAAGACATTGAAAGTTTTTTTTTAATCAACCAGTACTTATTGATCTATGTCTCATATAATCTCGGAAGTCGACTCGGAGATTCTTGTATATCCAAATAACTGCCCCTCCCCCTTCAATTAAACACTTCCACGTATCTCTATTTTTAATCAGAAATAAAGGTAGATATTTTTATTGTTTCTTCAGGAAAGTTATAAAGATAAGCTAAACGGGGTTTTCCATTACTTACGTTTTATTGAAGTTATAGAGAGACACTGCAAGCCACACTGTTCCAAACATCAGTAACAGGAACAGTAGACTATTTTCCCGCTTACAGTCCGGAATGCCAATCTGTGACTGAGAACTGTTATTGGTGGAGTTGCCCAGCCAATCAGAAAGTTGAGAAACGGAAACTTGTTCTGTGCATTCTGATGAGTGGTAATATTTCTGGAAGTCTGAAAGTATGGAAAGTTTTGAAATTATAGTATACAAACAATAAAATAATTTCAAAAGATATGAATATAAAATTAGTTTTTGAAATCTGTAAACAAATAGTGAATCAAATAAACATTTACAAGGACTGGCAATGCAAAATACTAAAAGTTGACGTTTTGTCATTTAATATTTTTGTTAACAAATCGACTCTTTGGAAATGCTTGAGTCTGATAATAATACTACATATCGTATTTTTTACAAGCAAAACCAAACACCAGCTGGTGCAAAATACAAGTCTTGAAAGGTAGTCTAATTATGTAAAAATGTTATTGGTTTGGTTACGTTTCATTTAAATGTTTATTCAATTTTCCAAACATTTTATGTGACTCTCAGTTTACTCTTTAAGACAGATTATGAAGAAATATTTAAAAGATGAGAATAATTCTGTTAAAATATGTAGAATAATCCACCTTAAGTACACAATACGTATGTACGTTGTCAGGCAAGTTTCTTAATCTTATAAAAATATACTTATTAATAACTGATTCTACCAAAATATTGCATTATAACTTAAACAAACTTGAATAATCAGCCTGTGAAATGTTTGTCATATTAAAACACCAACTTCTTTTGTAACTATGTTACTATCAATTCAGTTAGGTACGTCTAGAGAACATATCAAAATACAAATTAAATAACATATGGTACAAAGTCACAGTGTTAACTCGGATTTTTACATCGTATACAATGATGACATATTTGGATTATTATTAATTCGGTCTAATAGGTCTACCAAAATACAAATCAAGTAACATAACTTTAATATACTTTGTATTTCGTATTACAGGAACCAATAAATGTTATTGATTAAGTTAAATATAAGTACAGATAGGGTCTATCACATCTACGTAAATACTAATGAAAAGATTATTTTTAAATAAAATGCAATACGATTTTTAGTTAATGTGCTTACTTTTATGCGCATCTCTTCCAGCATCAACGCAGAAAGCGATACTTATGAACAAGGAAAATATTTCTTCCGTTGATCTATGAGAAGTAACACATATATATAACATTTGTGACCAAAGATAAATTATGTCCATGAAAAGTTAAAAAACAACTTATACCTTCTTCGGAGTGAATTAATTTTGGACCACTGAAAAGGTTAAAAGTTTAACATTATCTCTTTCATTTTGTCAAAAGGCTTATCTTGCTCAATCGTAATAATAATAAATAAAGTAATATTTCCGTATCTCTACTAATAAGATTAATATTAATTTATGGAAAACAAAAACGTATCACGCCGTTTGTTCGTAAAAATAAGAAAAAAAACTTGCCGAGAACTATATAAAATAGACAAAATAAGGCATTACGATAGAAATATTTCTGAACTAAATCACACGATGACATTAACGAAACAAGACTTTTTCTAGGAGCAGCACAAACACAAATTTTTATGTGAAGGCAATGTATTTTATAACTTTCAGAATTGTCTGTAATCTAGCCTATTTTAACACTGTTGGAGTTTTTTTATTATACAAGTCCAGCTGCTTTCAAACATTATAACTTTACTCACGTTTAAAAATAAACTTTCTCTCAGTAAATTTACGAAAATAAAAAAGATAAAAGTGAGGTAGAAAGAATTATATTCGATGATAATAAAATGAGAGGCTCTACATTTTAAAACTTCAGAATCTATAGCTCAACTTGAAACTTTAGATAGCGTGACTAAATGTGAAATTAATCTTGATGTCTCAAACAAAATATTAGATTTTAATAACTGTGACACAAAACGAAACTTAAGTAGTTGTAATAATACATCGCGAAACGTAAGTGATTGTAAAACAGTGCGAAATGTAGGTCGTTGTAACACATTGTGAAATTTAATTGATTGTAATAAAAGTTTTTGTAACACAGAGCCAAACGTAAATGATTGTAATACAGTGCGAAACGTAAAGTGGTTTTAATAAATAGCAACACCAAAGTTATTGTAACACATTGGCAAACGTAAATGGTTGTAACACAGTGCAAAACATAAATGATTGAAACATTTTGTGAAACTGAAGTAGCTGTAACAGAAAATAGTACGTAAGCAGTTGTGACTTAAAGTAAGATTTAAGTGGTTATGTCACAATGTAAACTATTAGTTGTCAAACAATGTGTAACGCAAGTGATAGTAACCGAACATAAACTTTTATTAGTTATGAAACAATGTGAAATGTAAGTATTGTGACAAATCTGAAATCTTGGAAGCTTATGCACAATATTAAAGAAACAATGTCTTATGTTTCAATGTATTGAACATGTTCAGTCTAGTTTATCTAGAGTTAAAATTAAAACTGTAACTTTCTTCTAATTAGTATAATAGATCAACCATTTATATTTCCCACGTCTTTAAAACACTAACAAATAACTCATGATCATTGCTGAAGAACGGCACAAGGTGGGGCACACTTTATGTAATCACAACTGTGCCATTGGGGGGGGGGGGCGTTTTACAAGAATATAAATGCAAGTTCTGGACAAGTTTTGTCACCAATGAAGCGTGTGTCCCTTCCATACGTTTCTCAGGAGGGATTACCGGTCGTAAAGAGAAGTGTGTTTACTGAGTGAGTTCTATGTTGGCGATGAATTTTATATGTATCATTAAGTCCTACCTATTAATAGACAAAATACGAGGGCTAGAAAGACTTGTTCAGTGCTTGCATTTTTATTTCTTTGGAAGTAATATATCCAAATATCGTCGAAATTGGAAAGTATTTCAGGTGATTACATAGCCCCCCCAGTGGCACAGCGGTATGTCTGCGGACTTACAACGCTAGAATCCGGGTTTTGATACCCGTGGTTGGCAGAGCACAGATAGCCCATTGTGTAGCTTTGTGCTTAATTACAAACAAACAATTCTTGTAAAAGCAACGCATCTAGATATCGTTCAAACCGAACAAACATTTAGATGGATACATAATTGTGCCCCATCTCATATATTTTTTCCACAATTGCTCGGGGTAGCTCGTAATGGAGGAAGTGACTAGTAAAGTTTTAAGACAATGCACTACACTATAGTTTTTTAGAACGTTGTACACTTGGCGATTAAGTTTTAATAGTTATGACAAAATGTGAAATTTAAGTGGTTGTGGTACAATGTAGAAAATTAAATATTTTATATTAGTTGTTTGTGAAATAATGTTAAAATAACGTGGTTGTATTAGATTGTAAAAGTAAGTTTTGTGGTATAATGTAGAAAATTAAATATTTTATATTAGTTGTTTGTGAAATAATGTTAAAATAACGTGGTTGTAGAAGATTGTAAAAGTAAATGGTTGTGGTACAATGTAGAAAATTAAATATTTTATATTAGTTGTTTGTGAAATAATGTTAAAATAACGTGGCTGTAGAAGATTGTAAAAGTAAATGGTTGTGAAATAATATTAAATAAACTGAGCATATATCTTCTTAAAGGAATTTAAGTCACATGGTCACATTACCTCTCGTGACCTGTAAATCTTGAAATACAAAATCACATATCCATAGTTGATAGTAACCAAACCGAATTTTTTACCGTAGTTTTCGGAAAGGACAGTATAAAAAATTACTTGAAAAATTAAAATACTCACATCAAATCTGTCTACATTGTAAAGCAAAAATCTTGTGTTTTCATACAAATATTATTTATCATAAGGGAACAGCTACATACAGTAACTCTAAATACACAACCCCATATAATAAAACGTCTTATTTAACATATGTCAGTAAATCCAATGGAATAATGTTAATAGTTAATAAACGAGATTACATAGTAATTATATAAAAGGTTATTTATCATTTCATCGAAAGAAAAAGAACCAAGAAGTAATTTTGTTTTCGAAAAAATATAGTTAATTACAGGAAATATTTTTGTATTTCGTTTTGAGTTTTGTCGTTTCCTCAGAGGGCTCTACAGATAGCTAGTTTTATTCTGGCTCCTGCAACTTCTCAGTGTGTTTATGTCAAATGTCAGTAAGATGGAAGACTGCCATCATCAAACGTATTACCCCCTGACAAGATACTTTCTTTCCGTCACTACTATGTTTGACAAAAGAAACCGTTCTACAGGGGCACTTTCTTGGCCATGATTTATTATCAATTGAGAAGCGTAAGAAATAAGCTTGTATCGTACATAGCTTGAATTAAACATTCTTAGATGTTTCTTTCCTAAAATACACAACTACGTGAAACTATCTTCCAATGTCATGAAATGTGATGGGTGTGGGAACTATAGCTATGGAAACTTATTGAATATTTACATAGAAATGAAAGATACTGTATCGTATTTAAACTGAAATGTGTAGCAGTCGATATATGAGTCCTAATTATTTTCAAGACAAATTTAAGAAAGAAGTCAAAAGATTTTTAGACATATATATATATGTATTTCTATACTATTTCACTCAAACAGTAATAAAGCTTCTTTTTTTGCACTTTTGCAAAAACATAGGTTTTTTTTAGAATTTAATGTACAGTAAAGAACTTAGTGAATTGAATCATTAATTCCAAAATGCAATAACAGCAACTTTTCCAGTAGGTAACTTCTGATTTTAATAATTACAACGTTTCGATCATTGTATTAAGTCATCATTGGGTAATTTACAAGTTACTGGAGATGTATTCTCAAAACTAGAAAAACGGGTTCTATCAAAGAATTCTCACAAAATCAAAAATAATTTTAAACACTCAACATAAAATATAACAAAACTTATTCAAAAAAGAAAACATCTAATTAGCCAAGCTACGTAATAACCTCAACCAAATCACTCGTAATAACCCCAACCAAATCACACGTAATAACCCCAACCAAATCACACACAAAAATTAATAAAAGTCAAAACATCGTTTTAAAATATGAAACAGAGAATATATCACTGATGAATGAAGGGTTAAATGACCCCAACAAATACTTAAAAATGGATGAAAACCTCAACGGTCTATTTGAAAAACCTGAATTATTTCAGCATATAACTCAAATAACACCATCAAAAACACCCCCACATTTTATTAACAAAATTGGATCCAAAACATAAAATAGCACGTTTTAATGTGCAAACTCTATTTACACAATTCCCTTGAGAATAAGTCTACAAAGTGGCTATTGAATTAATTATTCACATCCTTATCCAGCATTCTAACCCTCGCCACGAAGTTCTGTTTTAAATTCAATGATTTAACCTATTATCAAATCGACGGTGTCTGTATGGGCGAAACACTATCAAGTTCATTATTAATTCAACTGGAAAAAACAGGTCTTAAACACAACCATCTTCAAACACTTATATTGGTTGAGAAATATCGACGATGTTTTCTGATGCTTCAACTCTGTTGAACTACGTCAACATTCTTAAACTACGTCAACAACGTGTGTCCCAACATTCAATTTAAAACTGAAAACGAATAGAATAAACTCAAAACAATACCTTCATTACACATCCACACACTCCATACAACAGAAACCTGGAAGCATGAAGTTTATTATGCAAATAGCACTTAATGTATGCTCTGCAAACAATTTAGTCGACGAAGTACAAAGAATATCTGAAATCGTCTTTCCAAGGAACAACTAACCGGAAGAAATAACTAAAAATAAATCGGCACGCCCAAAAAACAAATACTACAAATCTTAAAGATGAAAACAGCTTCAACTTTATAACCATCACAATTCCTTATGCCTAAATTAATTATGGAAACGACTCACGAAAAACATAACATCGACATAAATATCATAATCATACAAAAGCCAGGTATTAAAATCAAGAACCTTATTACTAACAATTACCTCAGTGAAAATAAAAACAACAGAATCATCTACAAAATCAAATGCAAGTCACATAAACACTTTTCATTGGAGAAACCGAGAGAGAAATAAAGATCAGGCCTAAGGAACATCTTAAAGGATCCTCACATGTTTTGGAACATCTAAAAAAAACAATATCGAAATCATTCAAAGAGAACCAGAAATCAACAGAAGAAGAGTAGCTGAAGTACTACTGATAAAATCATCAAAGCTAATGTTATAAAAATATCCATACCCCCCTTTGATTATGTTAATATTTTATCCACCTCATGTTAGTAAAGAAAAATTTAATTTAACACCACCTACAAACTTGTTCTCACCATCACATTAACTGCTTTGTTGAATGTAACTCTTACATGGTGATGACTATGAATAGAAGCCTTGTAATTACTAAAATCAGAACTTACATACTCTAAAATTTTCTGTTATTGTATTTTTGACTAAAATTAATATTATTTTCATATATTTTAACAATAGGTTTCACTTATTTCATGCCCTTACTTTCACAAATATAGCTGAAAATAAAACTAACTTATTCATTTAATACACATATTTTCTTATCTAAATATATATTGAAATTTCTCACCTTGTAGAAAATCTCATAAGCCTACTCGCATCGCATAGAGCGTATATCACCAGAAATAAGGTATTCCACAGACCCACACAGGCGTACATGGCGTAGAAATTTAAGTTAAAATCTTCACATATACTGTATATGACTGAAATATATTTAACATGTGTCATATTAGAAAAACTACGCAGTTCAAGAGTTAAAAACAACAACTAAAGATCTAGTAAATCATATTCTTAATCTAAGTACTCTAGAAATTTCATATTTTTCCACTTCTTGTTTAAAAAAATTCAGTCAAGTTTTTAGTATAATACCTTGTAAGCAACATATAAAATAATATATAGCTTCCCGAATAACGAGGAGTCTTATATAACGCGATGAAGAGTATGATATTTTCAGTACGTTTTATTACTGTATTCTTAGAACTAGAAAATGCAGTACTAAATTAACAGTATTTCTAAATGTTTATTTTATACGTTTTTAACTTATGACTGGTGGTAACAAGGAATTTATTCTCGTGATAGACTAATAGGAATGGCAGATTGTCAATAGCATGCACCGCCAACTCTTAGCTTCTTTGATATGACCGAATGGTAGGGTTTGATTGTCACTCTTGTAACTCACCCACAGGCCTAAAGTGCCCAGTGCGTTTATAGACAACCAGAAGAGAATCTTGAACCATCTGATTCGCAATTCGGAGACGTTAACCAGTGGGCTACGCCCGTCTCGATATTTGGTTGACCACACAGTAATCTATGTACATTTTTCCCACTACATATTAAATAAATGCTGCTTTAAAGTGATACTGGAGAATATATGCAAATCATGCTTAAAAACAAGATGTTATGATATTGTGAAGTGCATGGAGATTAAAATGTAAAAAAATTCCCAAGATTTTTTCTATCTATATCAAAGATACCGACTACAAGGTGTTAAATATTCAGCTGTATATAAAGATGTCACATTCCCAGTCATTATACGTCTAGAAATCAAGTGATGGTAAGCTAAATTTCATGTTGTGCTTTAAATACACTCATTCAAGGATAGGTGTTAACTTCTGTGGACTTTATAGGGCAAGCTAAATTTCATGTTGTGCTTTAAATATACACATTCAAGGATAGTTGTTAACTTCTGTGGACTTTATAGGACAAGCTAAATTTAATGTTGTGCTTTAAATACACTCATTCTAGAATAGGTGTTAACTTATGTACTTTATAGAGCAAGCTAAATTTCATGTTGTGCTTTAAATACACACATTCAAGGATAGGTGTTAACTTCTGTGGACTTTATAGGGCAAGCTAAATTTCATGTTGTGCTTTAAATACACTCATTCTAGAATAGGTGTTAACTTCTGTGGACTTTATAGGGCAAGTTTAATTTCATGTTGTGCTTTAACTACACTCATTCTAGAATAGGTGTTAACTTCTGTGGACCTTATAGACGTTTCTGAACAAACAGATTTGGTTTACTGAAGATAGGTGTAGATATTATATGTATTAAAATCGTTAATGTACTAAACAAACATTTAATTGTTGTAGTTGTACGTTATACAAATAGAACAAGAAAGATTTCACTTTCTAATCAAGATCAAAGTTATGGTCGTAATTTAAAAATCACACCTACTATATACTTAAATCCAATAATTTTCAAACAATAATAATAGTTTTGAATACATAGAATAAATATATAATGCCGTCACTCTGAGTTTTAAAACGGTTTCTTGTGTATTTATTAAACTCCAGCAGCTTTGAATAAATGATATTGCGGAAAAGCGATAAAAATAAGATAAAATACAAAAAAAAGAGAAATTCATGGAAATGCTGGATAAATATATAATACGATTTTGATAAGAAACTAAACTTTAGATTTGTCAAAGAAACTCAGTTCTCTTTTTATAAATATTTAATTATTATGTGCTTTACCAGAAAACAACATACTTTTGTATTAATTTGCTCAAACAAAATTATTCGTGTGTACAGAAACAAAGTGTATAAGTTTTCCTTCATCAGTGTTGCCACCTATTCCGCGTAAAGATAAAAATCAAATTAATATGTCAAGCAAAAGCAACATGGTCATGAAATGGTTCGAGTGACGTCACTATTCGAATAAGTGTTTTAAGACTTCTATGGAGCAGATCCAGGATCGAATCCCAGCCACTACCAATACAGAAATAGTCCTTCTTATAACGTCTCTGAAGACAACAACATATTAGCAGCCACAACATAGGATAAAAACTAGTTATTAATTGGTATTTAATTATATAAAAGTTCTTACTAATTACTGATTTAAATTAGATTTAGGTGATCGCACAGACAAGTAACGTTGGCAACGATCGATATCCAGTAAGTACAACCTTACCGTGAGTACTTACAAGTGTTAAGTTTTGAATTAGAATTTGTCACAAAGCTAGGAAAGCTTCTTATCAACTGTTTCTCTCCAGAAACATTGGTTTCTGATAATTACTATTTTTAATAAGAAACTAACAACCAAACACATACAATGAAAAACGTTTCGATGAATAATAAACATTTTTGAGAAAATGTTTGTTTGTTTTTTTTCATTGTGAAGAGCCCCTGCACATCCATACATTTCCCTTTTAAAAACACTTTACTTGTTTAGAAAATAGTTCTGATTTCAACAGTTGTATATTTATATTCTATTATTCAAAAGGTATCACGCGATTGTTGTTGTTATTGTTGCTTTGCTATGATTCCTTTCAACATTTTGATCATATACAGTTATTTTAGAATACAAATACAATTTGAAAAAAAATATCGTAAATAACTAGTGATTTGATGGGGGAAAATATTTTTATTAGCTACAGTAAAGAATAACACATAAACGTTTCGAATTTGTGATTTTGTAAGTGATACAATAGGAATGTTGTTGATGGATGATACACTCACTTACCTTTAATGTATAACGCCAGAGGTGCTGTGGTCATTATGATAACCAATGGCTGACCACCAAGGAGAGCAAACAACAAACCACCAATTGTCTGACCAATAATACTTTTCCTGACATCTGTGGAGAATGAGTAATAAACAGAGTAAAGAACAAAAAACTTAATTAAACTGACACATTGTTCATTGTATACGTATTTAATATTCAAGAACTGACACATTGTTCATTGTACACATATTTAATATTCAAGAACTGACACATTGTTCATTGTACACATATTTAATATTCAAGAACTGACACATTGTTCATTGTACACATATTTAATATTCAAGAACTGACACATTGTTCATTGTACACATATTTAATATTCAAGAACTGACACATTGTTCATTGTGCACATATTTAATATTCAAGAACTGATACATTGTTCTTTATTATACTAAATGTTCAAGAACATACATGTTTTTATTTGTTGATGTTCAACGTTCATAATGATTCAGAAATTCATTGCATAAGTGCATAATTAAAGCCTCAAATAAATATATTAGTTAACACTAGTATCTGTGAAAAAAACAACTTTTCGTATATTTTCAAATATTTTAATCACCTTGTTCTTTATTCAATGTCGTTTCTTTAAACACATCGGCTTCTAATTCAGTGTTTTTTTTTCTAACATGCAAACATATATATATATTTCAATCTTAGTGAACCTGAATCTAAAAACATTATTCCTATTCCTCTGGCCAGTTCTGATTGGTTGTTAGTACAGATGTGTGGTGTTAGTACCTTTATTTTGGCGTTTCCGTTTTATATACATTCTGAACGTTGTGTAGCGTTTCATTAAAAGACTAAAAATTCAACGTACTTATGTTAATAAATAATCAAAACACTCAAGTAATCAACGTTTTTAACACAATTTAAAAACTTTATCCTGATACTGTTAATGATCTCAAAAAAGACACTACATATTTTGACATGCAGTCATGTCATCTTCAGAAGTGTAAAATCAAAAACAGTGTAAATCATATATACCAAAACCATTATTCATGTGACCCAATACTACTATATAATTTACATACTTAACTTATAGAAGATAACGCCATTTGCATACTTTCCGACTTGTCAACCCTTCATCCTTGTTCAAGATATGATAATTATTTTAAGAGTGTTTATCTTTTTCAATCTCATAAGTTTACAGTTTATTAATGTATTAGTTATCATAAGCCTTTTTCTATTATCATGCAACCACACCAAAAGTCATATCATACGAAGTCACAAAAAAGGTCAAGTTTTTATTCTTATTTTTACTGATCTTTAAGGCCCTGTTCTAATCCAGAATATTTAAAAAATGAATTGTTTTTTTTTCAAGATGTTTTTTTGGCACGTGTGTAATGTCCAATTTCGAAAACTAAAAAGTTTTATTTAAAATTAATGATTATTTTATACACAATTCAATAAAATGAGATTGCTTCCAGTCTTCAAATTATTAAAATAAAATATTAAAATAATAACTTACTGTACAAGGTTAAAAAGTGGTAAAATCCCTGACGTGACTGGAAAACAATCTCATACACTCTACATGTTTCGACTATATCTTGCGTCATCCTCAGGAGTGTAATGTTTTGCAAAATAACACTTATTTATACAGTTATCAAAACACCAATTTACATATTAAAGAATTTCACGTCATCTGCTGACAACAAATTCTTTTAGTTTTCGAAAATGAATTGTTATTGATTATATATATAGCATTAGATAGAGGTCTTGCACCTATTATTGTCGGTAGACCAAAAGAGCAAGTTAAAATCAACATTTAATAAAATAGATAAAAAGAAAAAGTTATTTTTACCATATGTCTCAGGTTTATCATGTCAAATTTTTCGGAAATTTAAAAAACAAAATATAAATGTTATTCCGATTTATAGAAATTTGAATGAAATTAGTCAAATATTAAATAAAATTAAAAATGTAATTAATGTAATGGGGAAAACTGGTACTTATAAAGTTGAATGTGAATGTGGTTGTGTATACATTGGTTAAATTAAACAAAATTTGAAACTGAAAAAGAAACACAAGAAAAATGTTAAAAATAATAAAAGTGAAACTCTGTACTGACTAAACATGTAAGTCACACCAGTCAGGTCATTCTGCAACTAAGGTAACAATGTCTACACCGTACACAGTCTTTTGGTTTGATAAGTTATAAGCCTTCTTAAGAGATGTTTTAAAGACAAGCAAAATTTCACCATGTAATATTGAAATAAACACAAAAACTTTATTAAAATTAAAACTGGGTCGCTGCAAAAAAGAAAAAACATTTTAACTTAAAATATGTTAATATAAGTTCTCACGTTATTATTTACGTTAATTCATAACTGGTATACAAGAAGTCTGCATTTGAAGTCGTTTTATTAACATCAACCAAATTGTACAAAAAAGAAACTTTTTTATTCCTTTTGAGATACTGCTCTTATTATAACTTATTCTTATCTGTTGATATTATAACAATTCACTAGCTTGAAAGCTCTTCTAAGGGACATCGGTGCACATAATGATTTCTGAAAGCGATTACAAGAACAGCTTAGCTTTGCACTTCATCAAACACTTAAAGTTAAACCTTGACATAGAATCACGTGGATAGCACGTGACGCGTAATGTTGCCATAACAACTAAAACTCCATTCTCCGAAAGAACATAGCTTTATATATATATATTTATAATTTAATTATATACAGAAAATAATCCATCTGTTAAAAAACATTCCAATATTGTATTTCAAATCTCTTTTGTCAGGATCTTTAAGTACTCTGCTAGTTCTCTTAAGACGCTCTTAAATAAAGTGACCGACTTGTTCAGCAGGTTTAATAGTTAAGGGTTTGACGTCATCAAAGATTTACAATGTCGCTGATGTTTATCGATCCGGTATAAGAGTAAGTAGGTCCAAAAACAAGCCGTAACTCTTAGCTGAAATGTTCATTAGAGGCCAACAATTCTAAAATCAAATTTTCTTTTAAATGCTTTCTGCAGTAGAAAATTTCTCAATCTAATTACCGAAACGTATTGCTATAGTTGCCTCATTTTGGAGCGAAATACTTTCTAAACCGCCTCTACTTCTCAGATTCAGAAAATAAACGCATAATGAGATAATAATATATCATCGATGTTAGTTACATTAGATCTCAAAATTTACAACATTGGTTGCGGGTTGTTCCGCACAAGTTTTCAGTTTCACACAGGTGATACTTTTATTTCTAGAATCTTCTTGCTCACCTTGTTTTCTACCCTATTTAATTTATTATGCTTGCTTTTAAAATTGCTTTTTTTTAACCCATCGATACAAATACGATCTATGTCACGACATAAAACCATACTAATCCGCTACATAAACAAGCGTCCTTACTGCACAAAAGCTGCTTCTTTCCTCATATTTTTTAAGCTTGAAATGTATGACATTTTAAAACGTGTAGGTTAACACTGTAAAGAAGAAACTCTTGGAATATGTCTTACAACGGCAAACAGTATGTCAACGGAAATGTCAATGTTTATATGGAATCAACAAATATTTTTATATTCCAAAAATATTGACACTATAGTTAGCCTAAATGCTATGGTTCACAAATGAATAAACGAGATATCTTACAATATCAAAATCAACGTGTTTCGATATAAAGTAATATTGTGGAATAGTATATACACTTCATCTTTAATTACCATAGAAAAGTCTGACTAGTTAATTGTTATGGTACATAAGAATAATTATTTTCATTAATCACGACAAGGATTCTCTTTGAGATAAATCAATTCCTTCTAGCAATCCCCTTTTGTGTGTGTGTGTGTGGTAGAAGAGGGGTGATCAACGACAAATTGTTTCATTCTAGCTTATTTCAATAAATAGTTTTCCAGACTCAAGACATACACTAACATTAATTTTAGAGTACGAGTGTTTAATATGAAAATTACTCTGCTAAACTGTTTTGTTTCAGAATTTCGTGTAGTTGCACAAGGACTATCTGCGCATAGCTATCCCTAATTATGAACTGATAAAATAGAGGAGAAAGCAGCTAGTCAACAACAGCTACTTCCAAGTTTTGAACTGATATTGTCCTACGAAATAGTCAGATTTGACCATCACTCTTATAGAGCACTCATTATCCCAAAATGTGGAGCGCGTTTTTGCTGCAACGGATCGCGAACAATAAATGCTGACGCGCTAACTACAAAGCCATGCCTCACCGCTGTAAAAGTGTTTTTCTAACGCACACACACAGCTGAAGCTGAAACGTTATTAATTACAATAAGGCTTTGATGCCAAGAAATGCTAGATTATGGATTATGAAGGAAACTTATATCAAAAAAAAAGGTTTCTAAGCTATAATAAAAACGTATGTACTAATAAAAGACAGAAATAAGAAAAGTTGTAGTAATATTTCTGAGTTCACAATGTATCATTTTATAAACAGTGTCATGAAGAGATGCAAAATGATATTTACATGAAGTACTTAGACCCTTATCACCTAGAGATGGTTTAGTCGATCTAGAGATATGCTTTTATCTTTAGAAAAAACTGCTTGCCATTTATGTACTTTCAGCGAAAAAAATTTTAAATTAATGACTTTATGACAACTGTGAAAGCAAAGTTAATGTGATAAGACGCTTTTAAAACTAACTTTTTTCACGATCGCCCCCCCCCAGTGGCATAGCGATATGTCTGCGGACTTACAACGCTAGAATCCGGGTTTCGATACCCGTGGTGGGCAGAGCCCAAATAGCCCATCATGTAGCTTTGTGCTTAATTACGAACAAACAAACAATTCACGACTGTATTGTAAAATATCATAAGACTTACAGTACCGTGATTTCTTAGCGTTACTATTAATGACTCGTTCCATGTATATGGTATCGGTAATAAGGAGGTTGTCAAAGTAAATGGTATGTAAAATAAACACTTACCTCCTTTGATGAGAAGCCACAAAGAGAGCAAGTAAAAGAAGAAAAACAAGTTTGAATTAAACAAAAACTAACGGACAAAAAACATTGACAAAAAAGAAACCATAACCGAAAGGATAGATTTCCTATCCACACACGTAACTTAGTTTTTGTTAATAAAAAAATTAACAAATTAACAAAACTTGGCATTCAACAACACCTGTGTTTCTTCTTTTTGTGCTCGAGATTCCATGAATGCGCTGAATTTCTAAACCAGATAAAATTGTTTTACAAAATAATCAAGTTCAATAGAACACTTATCAGAGAAGTTTTTTTGATGCTCTTGAACTTGATCCTGACTATGTTTTTATTTCTAATTTAGTTAATGTAGGGGTTGTGAGATTAAAGTATTGAACTGTAAGTCGGTGGAAGATAAGAGATAGAAGTTTTCCGTTTTTCTAACAACAAGTATGTTTACCAAACTGATAAAAAAACTGACTTAGCAGGTCTGCGATAGCATTAAGAATTTTTTTTTACCTATCAGTCTCAGAATTTTGAAATCAATATTTGGTATAACAAAATAAAAAAAATGATATTACGAT